CGAGGCATGAAGCTGGCTTCAGCTCTGGCTTCGGTTGGTGCAGCTCGCCTTCCAGGTTGGGGCCCAAGGGATGAGGATTGCCGATGGTTAGAGACGCTGGGAGATATGGCTCAGAATAGATGTCAGTGACGCGATTGCTGTGCGGTTCAAAAGTGTACGGTGAAACTACAAAAATTTATACATTCGTTCTTCGTGTTCCCTAATTTCCTCATTTTCATCTAATCTTTCTGTACACCTCCATAACTTCATTATCATATTTTTGAATTGGCACCATGCCTGTTCTCAAGCCGGTTTAATATATATATATATATTAGACGAAACGGAACAACGGGTTTATTAACAGCGGAGATGCCGTGATTAGGACTTTCGATGGAAAATTTATGATCACGGTAAATTCGAATAAGTGCGACTAGCTAGTTAATGTACATGTGAGTTGATCTTGTGTAGGGATCCGAAAGATTATGTAACCGATCGATTCGAGACATTAAACTAGTTATGCCACCACCTGGACTCACCAGACTTCAGTTGTACTCTGACAACATACTTGTTTAAAAAAAACCAACTCATTGTCTATGGAATGAGAAAGATGCTAACATAAATGTTTACACCTATTTTAACATCCCCTTCAGCCCATCTAAATTGGTAGCTAGTAAATACTCACTTTTCGCAAGGTGCAAGGCGAATAATGGACCGACTAACTTGCTTATGAGGATAGAATTTCATTTAATATGACCAGTTGATGCGCAACAGTTGGTTATTTTTTTGGTTATAGTTTCAAAGAAAACTGTAAAGTAGTTGGGAGCAATGCAACAACCCATTGCCTGCGAAGCTAAAAAATTACCGTTTAAACAACAAAAGGAAAGTCGATAAAAAAACATTCAGGGGCAACATAAAATCTACTAAAAGATTTAAATCTAAGCGTATGGCTTACCGGCAAGTGAAGAACTAAACACCGGGTAGGAATTCGCATAACGGATGGTTGTCGGTTTACCCAAGGCCAACGACGCATTTGAGTGGACTAGAGTCAGATGTGGCAGCCAGGCGGGGGTGATTCCGGCAGAACGATTGGCAGAACTGACCATGTTTCCTTGAAGTGTGATGATAGGTTTCCTGCGTGTGGTTGGCAACGTGCTTAAATTGTTAACCTGTAGCCCTGTAACCGACTGCCTTGGACGTAAAATGGCAGCACCAGACCGGAGCGGAAACTGACCCGGACGTCTATGTGGTTTGGGATTAGAAATACAGTAGGTTCGATCATTGTGGTTGGCACTGGCTTGGACCACAGTGTTCAGGTTTACCGGTGCATATAATGGGGAAGTATTGATTTTGAGCGACGCGGCGGGTGACGTGGACGACTTCGGAGCAATTTTGGGCCATGCTAATTCCAGCGAGGGTTTTGGCGAGGTGTTGCTTGTCGTTTGCCTACAAGGAGAATGAGCGAGGCTTACATCTAACTCCTGAACACCTAACTGAGGTGGATCATTCGTTGTTGGTGGAGGGAATGTCGACTGGCCACAATGCAGTGAATCACTTGTTTGAAGAGTGAGTAACGGAGGCAATGAAAAGTCATCTTCGCCTTCATCTGACGCCTGTGCGGAAAACCCAGAGGTGGCTTTCAGCAGAGTATGATCCACCGAATCGACAAAATCAACACCATCTGCTTGCCCAAGTGACAAAGAATCACACGCGTCACTAAGCAGTTTTTCACTTGGTTGACTCCGAAAATTTACCATCTGCGGGGCCGATGAGCGTTTGCACTGTACCGTTCTGTGTCCAATGTTGCAATCCAGCTCCTCAGCATCTAGAACAAAGAAACAAAAGTCAAAAACGTCAGCGGAAGTAAAGATTGGATTACAAGGCACCGTTTAAACGCATTATTGTATAGGACTAGAACCAGTTGAAAACTGTGATGTCAAAGGGTTCGAGGAGACTCAAAGGCTATCCCTCTTCTTCGGTTAGGGAAACCGGGAAGTAACATGCCCACACAACCGATGAACACATTTTACAGACGCCACCTAACCCTGCTTTGATCCTGGCAGGTCGGAATCTGTCGTTGTCTCCATCAAGGATACTGACTCAAAGAGATATCCAATACCTCCGAAGGGATTAGGCTTGGATCCCAAAGCAATATTCGTTGCAGAACACCCTGGATATCGGCCCCCACACCGCCCCGCTGCCTTGCGGGTCAGGCTGTGGCTAGCAGAAGACTCCGGTTGTGGATTCCCCAAGGAAATTCATTTGCATTGGTTTGGGCAACCTGGAACTTTTCCGCCTACATGCAAATCATGGAACTTTTTTCATAAAGATCATTGTACCATGATTTGTTTGGTACACTGTCTGGATTTAGACGTGTGAAAATATTTATATAGAATATTGCTCGGTTAATCTGATTTCCTTGCTCATCTATATTATCATGTCAAGGAGCGCATAGCTCATGCACTAACTCTGACACAGCATGCACGAAATGTTGGGACAGAATTTGCTGGTTTAGATGCCGGCCAGTGAGTCGGAAAGTGAACTGCATCAAAAGTTATGTGTGATCGGACTCACCGCAGGCGGTCCAATAGAACCTGCAATTGTGCATTGGGTCACACTGATAGTGGCCTACTGCTATCTGGTCGATTTGATTTGTGTACCAGCTGAACTGGAGAACCACGTTGCCGTTAACCGAGAGCTGTGTAGGAGTTGGTACTGGACAGGAACAGATGGTGGTCTGGGCAAAACTGATGAAACCAATCGTCGTTATCTGTTCGCTTGCAGGGTAAAACACAACTACCGCTTCTGCTGCGCGCAGTTTTTCAACCTGCAGGTTAAAATCACCCGCAAGTACAACTGTCGGAGCTTCGAATAAACCGAATGAGTTCGGTGAGTTCGTCGTAGAAATCCTTTTCGTGTATCCGAATCGCAGTTCGTCAGTGCACATGTCGATATTATGAAGACACCTTTGGTGTTGTTCCCCTTTCGAATGCTGATAGATCCAAGGAGACGTATCGCACATAAACGACTGTTAGCGAAGATGCAATCGATAAGAGGCTTTGGCCCGGTTATCGATTACGAAAGCTAACCCGCACTGACCTATTGAGCGGGCTTCGTTGTCGCTTGGTGTGTAAACGGCGCACCTCGAGAACAAATCCGGTGCACTGAAGAGGTGTACAGTAGTAAGATCCTGAATTCGAGTCTCATAAGATGCAGTCATTGATCCCCACAGATTCTATTTTACGCATTTTTGCTCGATAATAAATGACAGTAATTCGGGTTCAAGTATGGTGGGTAGTTCCACAGGAGGATTTCCTGTATCTCCTCCGTGGTCGATATCCGTTTTCTTTTCTGTTGTACTACCCGGATATACGCATTCCTACACTTCGATGTATCTGCTCGATTGTGGATGACATGGTGGTGTTGACCACCTTCGATTTCTGAGATGACTCGCGGGAATGAAGAGCAGACGTATTAATCTTGACCACGATAGCAATAATTCACGAATAACCGCCTAGTGATCGTTTCCCTATTCATAATCTGCAGATGCGCCTACCAGCGTACGGTTCCTGTGATCAGACTTGTAGTATCCTTTGACTATAAAACTTAAAAAACACTGCGTGCATATTAAAGCGCATAAACTGGTTTGTCTACTGAATACTGGTGAAATGAACATATACTGTTCACTCATGGGGAACTGCGAACTGAAAGCCATGAACTAAAGTGGAGCCACTAACGGTTCCACTAGAGCAGGGTGACAAGCAAGCTGAATACAACCAAAAAGCGGAAAGTCTGTAGCTAAGGCGCATGATCCGGGAGACGGAAAACAGGTTTAATTGCTTGAGAAACTAAAACAGAGCAGCCGT